TCAAGAAAGTTTTCTTCAATTAATACTTCCCAATTTCTTTCAAGATTGAAAAAGAGGAAAAGTTTCATGCATTCAGGCGGGGAGATCTAGATAAAGAGGAGTTTATCAAAAGGTTTAATGACTTTTCAATCTACTCTACCTACCTCTAGCATAATAATGACACTAAATGGAAGGCCAAGCGATTGCTAGAGAAGATGAGACTTGAGTATAAGCAGAAGGTCATATTATTTAATATGATGACTTATGAAGACATGTATCACAAGTTGAGAATGGCAGCTAGACGTGATAGAGAAGAAAAAGTTAAGAGGAGGCGAGATAATATGGGAAGATTATTATCCTTTTTGGGTCTGACAGGAAAAGTTTTAAAGAAGCCTGGTTACAGTTCTGGTAGTTCCAATTCTTCTTAAAAGAAGGGATTCAGTAGAGGATCCCAGTCTTGATAAATGTAGAGGGGATCAGTTTAGAGAAGTGAAGGTGTGAGGATTAGGCCTATATAGTCTTCGAGGCAAGCATTTAATGTTCCAACACTGAATCTAAGTATAGGAAGGTCACCCCGATGTAGCATTTGTGGCTAATCTCATCCAGAAAGATGTTGGGCTTGCCTTAAGTATGGTAAGTCAGGACATTTAGCAAGGTAGTATCAAGAGGATAGAGTTTAGAAGACTAAGCAGAGATCTACCATTCTTGGCTGAGTCTTTGAAGTTATACTAAAAGAGGCCAGAGCATCTCCTAGCTTGACTAGATGTATGATTTTTGTTTAGTTCATCAAGTTGAGGCACTGTTTGATTATGGTGCCACACATTCCTTTGTATCTGAGGAGTGTATGGATATATTGAATCTGTCTTTTCAAGAGTTACCCATACTCATTAAAGTGACTATGCCTTCGAGATCTATTAATATTATGAGTAAAGCTTATAAGGGTGTAGAGATTCAATTTGAGGGTAGAGTTTCTATGATTGACTTAATCTATATTCTTATGAAGGAAATAGATGTAATTATTAGCATAGATTAGCTAATAGTGAATAATGCTACACTTGACTTTGCTAGGAAGATGGTTTCATTACCAAAATTATCTGTAGTAGTAGATTCTCTTAGGCAATACAAGTTCTTATCAATAGCTAGTTTCAAGAAATTGATCAAATAGGGTTGTGATGCTTATATGATATTCTTTGCTTCTAGTTCAATCTATGATAGTGGAATTGAAAAGATCAAGGTAGGGAGCGAGTTCCCAGAGGTATTTTTAGATGAAGTGATTGGATTACCTCTTGAAAGGGAAGTAAAGTTCTCAATTGATTTGGTTCTTAGAACTAAACTAATATTAAAGGCCTCGCATAGAATGTCACCTTCAGAATTAGTAGAGTTAAAGAAGCAAATTGAAGACTTGCTAGACAAGGGGTTCATTAGACCAAGTGTGTCACCTTGGGGATCACCGGTTCTATTTGTAAAGAAGCAGGATGGAAACTTACATCTTTGTGTAGACTACTAGTAGTTGAACAAGGTAACTGTGAAGAACAAGTACCCTCTACTAAGAATTGATGATCTTTTAGATCAAATGGCTGGTGCCTTAGTCTTTTCCAAGATAGACTTGAGGTTAGGGTATTATTAGTTGAGAGTTAGTACAGCTGATGTGCCCAAGATAGCTTTCAGGATGTGGTATTTTCACTATGAGTTTTTGGGTATCTCGTTTGGTTTGATTAATGCACCCGTACTATTCATGGATTATATGAATTGTATCTTCAGATTATACTTGGATCAGCTTGTAGTGATCTTTATAGATGACATTCTGATTTATTTTGAGGATAAGGAGCAACATACGAAGCATTTGAGAACTGTGCTTCAAATTTTAAAGGATAAGAAATTGTATGCCATACTCAGGGAGTGTGAGTTTTAGCTGAGAGAAGTTTGATTTTTAGGACATGTGGTATCAGTAGATGCGATTTCTATGGATCCGCATAAGGTTGATATAGTGTTAAAGTGGGAATGCCCTAGTTCGATCACAGAGATAATCAATTTTCTAGGATTAGTTGGCATTATCGACAATTTATCGAAGGATTTTTCTAAATAGCTTCTCATTTAATTAAGTTGACACAAAAGGATCAGCCTTATATTTAGGATAATCGGTGCAAAATGGCATTTCAAAAGCTAAAGGAGAAATTAACCTCCAGTATTGATTATCCCTAATTTGAGGTTGCCTTATGAGCTGTACACTAATGCACTATTGTGAGGCTTGGGTTGTGTCTTGATGCTAGATAGTCAGGTAGTAGCTTATACTTCTCGACAATTGACACCACATGAAGAGAACTATCTTGGTCATGACTTAGAGCTTATAGCCATGGTGTTTTCTCTAAAGATTTAGCGCTATTACCTTTATGGTGCAATATTTTAGGTGTTTAACGACCACAAGAGTTTGAAATACCTGGTAGATCAAAACGAGCTAGACATGAGGTAGAAAAGATAGATGGAGCTCTTAAAGGATTATAATCTTAAGCCGAAATACCATCCAGGTAAAGTGAATGTGGTTGTCAATGCATTAAGCCAAAAGACATTATATGTGGCAAGTCTAATAGTGCAAGAGCATGATTGATGGAATCTTTTGTTGAATTGCAACAAGATGTGCCAGTGAAGTTTTTGGTTGGTGCTTAATAGCGAATTCTGGAAGGAATTAAGGATGGCATAGTTAGAAGATGAATGTCATCTTCTTGGGATTAGAGAAGAGATTGAAGCGAATCAGGCCATAGATTTCAACTTTAATGATGATGAGTACATAGTCTATCAGGATAGAGTTTGTGTGTCTAATGATGCAAATCTGAGGAAGGTGATTTTAAAAGAGGCTTATTGTAGCAAATATACAATCCATCCAGGAGCTACAAAAATGCATTAGGACATGAGGCGGTATTGGTGGTGGTGATAAGTCACATGTATTACATGTAACATCCTGATTTCTTAATCATGTGATTAGCTGTTAATTAGGAGTAAATTAGAAATTGTGAAGTGATTAAATTTTTGAGTGATAATGTGATGATTTGACTTTTTAGGATGTTAAATGAATAGATAGGGGTGGAAGAATTGTGTTTCGAGTTGAAGTAAGTGCATGCGTATGGTAAAAATTCTTCTCATTATGCCATGCATCATGGCAGATGCTGCATGGGCCATGGCACATGGATGAGAAAATGACCCCTTAAGTTGTGAATTTTATGAATTTCAAAAGGGAGAAATTAAAACAAATGAAAGGGAGAAGAGAAGAGTGAAGGCTGTGTTAGGGCAAGCAATTTCGAAGTTGTGGAAGGCACTTTTGATTTGTAACTTATTGGGTAAGCTACGTATAACTCTTACCTTCCATTCTACCTAAATTTCTCTTAATATAAATTATAGAGAAATTGAATTGGTGAAATTTAAGGGGTTTGATTCTTACCCAATAGTAATAAAAAGGTTCTTGAAAGTTAAATTAGAGCTTTGTGATTAGTTTAGAGATAAATGGTAGAGCTTTCAACCTATAAGCTCAATTTGGCCCTAATTCAATGAAGATTTGTTGTGAAAATTGTGTTTGAGTGAAATGAGACTAGTTAAGGTGATATAAGTAGTAATTGAGTAGTAATAGACCTACAACAATAATGGAGAAGAATAAATGGCTAAATGTAGCCATAAGGAGTAAATACGTGCTTTTGGTCAAATCAAACCAACTAACTAAATTGTGCCAATTGCGTTTAGATTTGCAAATCGCACATTTGAGTTGAGAAAGAAAGCTTGTGATAAGTTATAGTGGTAGTTAAAATCCACAAATAACCTTTCTAGTGACAGAAAGGTTGAGGTAACTGAATAACTTTCTCTATTTGATTATTTATTATAAATGTGTGTGAGTATTCTATTTAGTACCTGAAATGGTTTTAAACTAAGCATGATTTATGGCATTTGGTGAATGTTGCATGAAATGAATTTTGATCAAATAGAAGTATTGAAACATGTGATTATCTTTATATATATGTTATGTATTGGAAAACATGTAAAGTGGTGATTGAGAATTTAAGATTGGTTCAGAAAGCATGATTGTAACATCCCAAAATTTTAAAACTCAGATTTATAAAAATAAAATAAAATATCTATAATTAAATTAAAATTTAGAATAATTTGATAGAGGTCAAGAGTTTGAATTTTACTAAGCAAAAGTTTAGTTTTATTTGATTTTTAACTATGGGAAAAATTACCAAAGTTAACCCGGGCTTTTGTGCAATAATAAAAAATGTTGGGCCCTTTCTTGTAATTTTCCCCAAACTTTTTGACCAGCATTTTAAGAGGCAAACTGGATGCAGAAAATGCAGAAAGGAAAGAAGAACAAAACACAGAGAGAGAGAGAGAAGAGAGGAAAAAGGGAGGGAGTTAGGCTTGAATCTAGGAGTCTTTGCGACCATTGCGAGCTCGGCTACACGATAGGTAAACTCCCTACTTCAATCCTCTTCTCTTTCTCTTGATTTTCTTCAATTTTTGGAAGAGAAAATTTTTGGATTTTGATCCCAAAGGCTTTATTCTTGTAAGCTTTTGTTTCTTTGGATCCTAGGGAGCATGTTTTGAGTTTCTATATAGTGATCTAATGTTTTGAGTGGATAATTGGATGAAAAGAGGTGTTTTGGGCACAAAATAAATCTTGAGAAATTGGGTTTTTGCTCTTCAATGGTTTAAGCTTATTGATTTAGTTATAATTTTTCTATTTGAGCCCAATAAGATTTAAATTAAGGTTTGGTTTTCATTATAAGGGCTTATGGTGAAAGTTGGTAACACTAAGTAAAGGTTTTTAATTGATAAAAAATTATATAAATTGGAAATTAGCCTAATGATGGCTAATAAATGGTTTTGGTGGTTAAGTGATACTATGTGAATGTTTGGTTTAATATATGGACCATTAGGGTGGATTATTACTCATTGACCCAAGTTGTGTGGTATGAGTTATAGTCTTCATTAATGCTATTTGTCATGATAAGTGATGTGGATCACTTATATGTTATAGGAAATTGTTGGTGGAACTTATTGAGAAGTAAGGAACAAGCCGAGCCCTATTTTGTACAAGGGAAACCCTTTTGGTACCAAAGGGTTGAGGTAACAGGGGAATTTATATTTCTTATTACTTTGTTTTAGCTATTTTTGAATAAATATTACTAGTTATCATGCATTACATGTTTTAAAAGATTAAATGTGCTTTATAAGGGGTTATGGGGTACTACTTTGATTATAGTGCAAATATGTTTTCTAATTGTTTAATAACAATGTTTTTATGGAAATGAGATTTATAAATATTATACTACTTTAGAGTGTTGAATGGTCAATACTCAAGAAAGGTAGACAAGAGTAAAAGGCATGATCTCGGTGGGAGTTCACCAATGAGAAGGTGTGGATTTTTGATATTCTATGGCACACTGTCAGTACTCAGTGTTGTCTTACGTATTGTGGGCTCAGTGCACTAAAGTGGTTAGTGTATTGAGTGTTCGACACCTCTCAGTGGGGGAGGGAATCCGACATATGAAGTGTGAGGTTGAGTGCCTAGGCCAAGGTAGCCCTCACATAGAGAGTAAGTCGGGTTGGCTCTGGGAGGAAGTTAGCTTTGACTGCTCAGGATTCACGTCGAAGGGGCATAGGCGGTTCGGTAGATTAGATCATGCCTTAGATTATGTTTTGTGCCTGTGGAGGTACAAGTAGGTATAAGGTTTACCTGCGAGTTAAAGAGTGCCAGGGGGCATTCTGTTGGTCATGAAAGGCCATACTGGCCTAGGTCATGCATTCATACATTTTAAATGGCTAAATTATATACTATGTTGAATTTATTATTCATTTATTTGATTATGGCTTACTTTGTAATAATCAATGTAGATTTCTCTGTTACTGAGACTGTGGTTATCTCACCCCTTTCTTTTCAATATTCTAGGTCCAGGCGAAGGATCCAGTGGTGGACGGGGAAAGGAGCAAAGCTAGGGGTTTGCTTGTGATTTGTAAAGAACTGCAACCCCTTTCTTTTGAGCAAATATATTGTAATGTATTTAAGATTAGGGTGCCAGTAGGATATGATTATGTATGTGTGTGTGAATATGTGTGGATTGTGTGCTTGTGTATGAATTTTTGTCTGTTTGCAGACTTGTGGCTAGGAAACTTGGTTATGGTGTGTAGTTTTGATGGATTTAATTAGTATACCAAGTTTCTATTATAAGCAGATATTTATTTTGATATATATCTGATTTTATAAGCAAATGCAAAGTGGTTGCATTGCAAATGGTGTGCTATGGGCAAACATACACCTTGGATAGAGAGAGTGGGTGCGTGGGCCCCACAAGGAGCTCTGAGCCAAGTGAAAATGTTTAGCATATGTATTTATATAAATACATGGTATTTAGATTGATTTGTGACCACTCTTGTATGATTTGTGCATTTTGGGGGCTTAGGGTCCATTTTGGGAAATGGCACTCGGGTGGTCAAATTTTGATGTATGGGGATTTTCCATCATTTGAATGTTCTTTCAGGTGTTTTTAGTCTTATTTAACGTGTCCAAAGTGTTCCCACAGGTTTGTGACCATTAGGATGAGATTTGGACAATTTTGAAAATGGTTTTTACCAAAAAGCTACACTTTTGCATCCGAGTGTCCAAATCTTAATCCGACCGTTGGATTTCTCTAAAATTTGGGTCATAAGTAAAACCTTTTATATGCTTCGTGTGGGATTTAGAATCACATCGATCAGATATCAGACAGAGAAATGATGTGCTCCGGAATTTGGTCTAGAGGTGCTGTCATGACAGTATTTTAATGCTGTCATGACAGCTATAGTGTTGATGTTGTAACCTGCATAAAATTTAATCCGTCCGTTGGATCCTTTCAAAATTTGGTATGCTAATAGTATTTTTTAAAAGTGATATGTGGGCTTTAGAATCACTCTGATCAGAGGTCGGATGATGAAATGGTGCACTCCGAAAGTTGGTCCGGAAGTGCAGCTGTCATAACAGCAAAAATAATCAATTTTTTAACATGTCTAATTTACAATCCGACCGTTAGATCTTTTTGAAATTTGATATACTTATAGTACCTTTGAATGTGACGAGTGAGCTTTAAAATCACTTCGATTGGAGGTCAAATGATGAAACAGTGCCTTCCGAAAGTTGGCCCACTTGGGCTGTCATGACAGCAATTTAATGCTGTCATGACAGCATCTTTTTATTTCACTTTCGTCTAGCTTGCTTCTGCGTGCTATGGGTAGAACCTATAAGTTTTTTTTAAAGGCTTTAAATGTTTACTTTGCAATTGTGTATTTGTTTAGTGATTTAAATGGTTTGTTTCCTAAGTTGGTTTTAGGATTAATTCCTTAACCACACTTAGTTTATTTGAATTGTGTGATTTTTGGATAACACTCGGGGCAAGTGTTACAATGATCATAGGGGTGGGAGTTCACTCATGTAGAGTATAGTGATAAGACCATATGGCATATTCTCCTTAGTGCCCGACAGGGTGTAGTATTGGAGAATTGTATCTCCTTAATACCTTTCAAGGTGCAGTATTGGAAATTATCTCCTTAATGCCTATTGAGGTACGGTGTTGGAAATCTAAACTCCTCAGTGTCTGTGTGATATGGTGTTAGAGTCAACGACACCTCATTATATGTATTGGAAGATAGTCTATAAGTGAAATAGAACACCTTTGGCTAGGTAATTCTACAACTAAAGGTGAGCTCAAAGCCAATGAGATTGTATTTTGGTTAAGGTGAGCTTATGGTTTTGAAAGGGATGATTTGAAGGTTGGATCAATAATGATCATACTATGAGTGAAAAATTGGTGACAAATGGTGATTATCGTGGCAAAAGTGATGAAACAAGTGATAAAGTGTTGTAATGGTTTGTATTAATGAGATTTGAAATGAAACATGTGATATATGTTATGTTAAATGGTTTATTATCCTTTACTTTCATATAGTCGCATATGATAGTCAATAAAAGTAAGTTATTCCATTATTGAGATTATTATATCACCTTAATGGCTACATTTTTATAAGACAAAATAGTGATTAAGGCAAGGAAAAAGAGTTAAGATTGGCTTAGAGTTGTTGAAGCTGTGTTAGCTTAGTGTAATGTCCACCTTGACATTACCAAAATTCACCACACAATCACAACAACCAATCATATTTAGGAGCAAGGATTTGCTCCTAATCTCACATTATATATATAAGGGTTAAAACTAATAATCTTTTAAAAATAATTGAGGAATATTTGGGATCCCATAAAAATCTTTTAATTTGATAGTTTGAGCTCAAACTTAATGATCTATATAGGCTTTGGTTTAGAAGCATGGAAAAGTTTTAGGAAGCAAACCACTCCAAAACAGGGCCAAAAATGTCATTTTTTAGTGTTTTGGTCCATACACCGTAGCTCGTGGTATGTGTGCCACGACATGTGGCATAAAATGCCAAATTTTCTTGCTGTACCGTGCGCCATGGCTAATGCAAAATGCGCCGCGGCGCACGTATCCATGACAGCAATGCTGTCATGACAGCTTCTCTAGACGAACTTCAAACACACGCCATTCTCACATCCGATGTCCGATTGGAGTGATTCAAGTGCCCATGCGAAGCTAATTCAATAAGCTAACTAATGGTATAAGTTTCATTATGATCCAACATCATATGAGAATTTTAGACACTCAGATGTAAAAGTTAGTTTTTTAAAAAAATTTTCAACCATCCAAGTACCCAAAACTCATACCATTAAGCCATTGTAAGGCTTGAACCAAGTCCAATGGATCAAAATACACTTGAGTAATCAATCAAACACATAAAAACATACCAAACACAAAATTTGGCCACTCAATGGCCATTTTGCCTAGTGGCCAAAATGCACAATTAACACTACAAGCATTATTTGGCCTCTATTGCCACATAATACCCTATGAATACATTGTCACCACATAGATAAAACATTCCTTGCACTTGTATTAGTATTTTAGCCCATCACCATAAAAATTACCATATATTCATCCCATATACAATATTGGACTAAAATACACCATAACATAGTATGAAATAATTGCAACCAATCAAAATGATATGCATTCCTAGTTGGCAACATATAATATCATATAACAAGTTTTTGTATACCACTCAAACCAAAATCGAGCTTTATAAAGAGTGTAGTAGATATGCTAACCCCTGCCCAATTCCCTCCCTGGCTCGGTCTCACTCGTAGCACCTGTAAAATGTTAACCATGGGGTGAGATAAAGATCTCAGTAACTAAGATAATCTACATTATTGATTAACAAGCTAAGTTATAACAAGCATTAAAAAAAGTAACATGATAACGTCATATAAGATCACCACAAATTTGCATGCATGATCCTTAATCATCCGGTCCTCCAATACTCTCGACTGAACCAGTAGGCTGTTTCACAGATCCAAACCATATGTATGGTCCCCAAGCTCACCATCCATGGTTGGACTACCCGGCTAAGGTGTCCTAAACCACTTCTAAACTACTGTTTCCCCCTATTACAAGTAATTGGGGTGTCGTTACTCCAACACTATATCCTATGGATGCTAAGGAGCATAATCTCCAACTTCGTACCCTTTTGGATACTAAGGAGAGTAATCCTCCAACACTGCACCCATTTTCGGGCACTAAGGAGAGAAGGTGCTGCACCTGGCGTCCTGAGGTGCCAGCAATGCCATATGGACTTAATCTTCACTATCTCCACTAGGGTGACCTCCCACCCTCTAATATGCCACATTTCACGACATATCTCCACCTAAACATGCATAAACAACTTTCCAAATAAATATAACAAATCTTATCATTTACTTCAAAAATATAGAATTTCACAAACCAATACTCCACTTTTTCTAAAATAGTTAACCTTTAAAGAATTTATGCATATATACTCAACAAATCATAGAAAAGCACTTGAGAATAACTTATACAAGGTAATAAATAATGTAAATTATCTAGTTACCTCAACCCTTTTGTTACTAAAAGGGTTACCCGTGGTACTAATTCTCTTTTTGTGTCAAGGTAAGTCTTCCCACACCACAATCTACATCAACAAATACTATATGTTAATTTTCAATTAACACAAGCACTATTAACTACCAATAGCCTCCCAATTCTCCTACTTTTCACTCAAATCCTCAACAAATAGGCTTGTCAATATTAGAATTTGTTCACACCTTCCCTTCAAGTCTCTTTCTAACTCTATCACAACATAAAACTCAATATCTCAACTTATCACACTTCAACACCCTATGATCAAGTTGGGGTTTGATCCAAAATTCACCAAACAAGAAAGTAGCTTCCTATTACCACATATCTAAAATCAATAAACCTAAATTAAACCTTTAGAGTCAATAGAAACCTTTAAAACATTGACTCATGGCTTAATCCAATCAGACCAAATTCTGACACTTCCAAATCCCATGAAAAATGAGATGAAAAGGAAGAAGAGAAGGGTAGGAAACTTATCCAAGAGTTTAGAGACTCAAATGATCTTCAAAATCCTTCCAAATTGATGCCCTAGCAGTGACTAAAGTTGCCCCCTTCGTGCTCTAGGTTTTCCATCCCAAAATCTGTCAATTTTTGATAATTCCTAAAAATTTAAGTTGCCTGCTGTGCCGTGTGCCGCAGCGTATGCCATGCAAGCCACGGCTCACGATGTAGTGAGCAACAACTTGATTTTGCTCCCCCCGATGCCTCTCGACTTGATTCGACTTTCATCCTATCTCAATCTAGAGCCAAATATGACCTAAAAATTCAATTAGCCATCTAAAAACATAATTAAATAAATTAATCATATTTTTAACTAATTTATTCCTTAATTAATCCACTTTTCCAGATTTGAAGTTTTAGGATGTTACAGTTCTCCCCTCCTTTAAAGGAATTTTGCCCCCAAAATTCAAGAACAATCACAACACATACCTAGGGAAACAGATAAGGATATTGCTGCTTCATTTTGTCCTCTGTCTCCCAAGTATCATTACCAGGAGCCATTCCTTTCCACACCACCTTAACCAGTTGAATAGTCTTGTTCCGTAATTACTTATCTTTAACATCTACTATTCGTTCTGGCTCTGCTCGATAAGTTATATTCTCTTACAGCTCTACCTCTTCGGGTTCAATCACATGAGATGGAT